GTAATCTTTTTTGTGGGCAAAAAATGGCAAACTAAGACTTCCTTCCACGCCCCCTCTTTTCTTGCGCGTGAGCGCGAGTTCAAGTGTTGTGGAAAACGGTGAGAGTGAAACGCTCGGACAAAGGGGGTCAAGTTCTTTGAGGGAAGTTTAAGGTCAGCTAGCACCGCCATGCCTTCATTAATATAAATTCGGGCGGTTTTAGCGGCTTGCCAACGCCCGGAAATGAGAAGCTTATCGAACGACCCGTGTTTTGCGAACCAAAAGGTCGCGCCCCCCCTACGCAGGGAGTAGGGCCTGAACTCAAAAAGCGTAATCTCCAAGGCCGCTACGGCTGTCTTAAATAATGTCCTCCAAGCAGACACTGATTCGACAAATCGTGCTGAAGGCTCAGCCAGTGATTTCCACTGCCACAGCCACTTTAAGGCTACATCAGCAGTGATAGTGACTGACTCCGCTGCTCCTGCCCGCTTTCCACTCTTCGTGAGACCTAGGCTCACTACTGCAGGAGAGCTAGCTGATTTCATAAAAATGTGGCTATTTCTCACTTCTGTCACTTCCCCTGTTCGCAGCATGCCATAGAAGGCCAGCAGGAGAGAAATTCCGAAGCCATAATGTCCATGCAGGAAGCTCCAACCGACCATCGCATGAACGGCTGTCTCGGTAAGGGGTGGTGCACGATTCGGGATTTCATTTGTACTCCACGTCTTCAATAGTCTCCACGTAGCAGGGAACTGCCCCTTAAGCTTAGGATCTGCGTCCTGCAGTCCGGCAACCGTGTCCGAGGCCAGTCCCCGGCCCTCGCCCTCGGACCACAAGAACTCAATGTATTCGCTCAGAAGCCCGTCAAGGTGCTCCCGCTTTTGTGGAAGGCTAAGATGATTGGTGTCAAGAAAGTCGTAGAACTTCTGCCTGGCAGTGGTGTACCTTTGGTTGGTTTTAGGCGAAACCGTAAGGGATTTGAGAGACCCAAGTTGCTTGCGCTGAACCTGTCTGGCTTGCTTGCTGTGACCTTCGAGGAAGGTCCGCCCTACTTTCCCCATTTCTTCCTAACCGGCCTTCGGCTGGGCCGGTCAGCTGGGTTTTGCGATGTATGTATGTAGCCCCAAAGGGGATGAAGATCTCCAGCAAGCATCAGAGCGTTCAGCCGCACGATAATAGGTCTCAACTTTTTGCTTGAACTTCGACCTCTGGTCAAGGCATGCATGCAGACCATGCTATCCGTGAGGTGAAGAAAACGAACTCCCCATCGTCTGGAGCGTGACAGCTTCCACTTGATGCTGGTGAGAATGGCTCGTAGTTCCAGGAGATTGATGTGTTCTCCCGAACGTCGCCACCTCCACCCTGAAATGTCACGCCATCTCCACAACCGTCCCGGAACGCTAGCTCGAAGGCGGAAGTACTTGGGAGCCGGGTCTGTACCTGTGTGAACCATGAGGTCTTCGCCCTTCATTGAGGAGAATCCAAAGCACTTGCGTACTAGCTTGACCGCAGAGTCAGAGTCACCCGTTCCCAGGCGTCCCTGATGCGGCGGACGTAGTAGCATAGAGCAGAAGTCACGGGCGTGCCCTGGAGTAGTAGCATCAATAATGTCTTGTACGGCTGAAAGACCTCCCATTCCGAGAGACCGAGATAGTTGTCCCACCAACCAGCTCACCACGCCGACATGCCAACTATTTCCGATCATGCTCATACGGATATCCTCATAGTTTTCTCCTTTTTGGTCGCCTTTGGGCACGCATTGCCTCGTGTAACCAATGGGAAACCCCATCAAGGCCTCCCGTTCTTGGATGCCCGGTCGTCGCCACATGCCTTGGCGGTTCCACAAGACATGGTCATCTTTGTATTGGTACGGCGGGAAACGATGTTGGTCTGCCTCCCACCTCGCAATTTCGTGTGGTTGACAGTGTTGTATCCCTGCCGGGCGCCGTCCTGGCGTTGCTCTTGGTCTCAAAGTCGTCAAAGTTGGTAGGTGACAGCCATCAGCAAGTGACCATCCCGGCATCAGGAGGCCCTTACCGTCCACCTTTCCCTTCAACAGCAACGGTTGGCAGAGACTCCAACCTTCACCTGAGCATTCACCAACCTCGACATCGTGCTGCTCCGGAAGCTCCCAGCTAATCCAGTACAATCGTGGACGGGCGCACAGTGAAATCCCTTTTGCGTCAATTCTCACAGGAGTTCGGCCAAACTCCCGGCTCATGATGGCTCTATCCTCAATACTCATCGAGGCCACATTCTCAATGAGCTCATGTACCTGGGCCCAACAAAAAAGCCCGCCTGAAAAGCTGGGTTATCCGGGGCACTTCTCTGAACAGGCAGCTTCGCTCATCCCGCAATGCGCCTTTGCGGTCGGCGTTTAAGCCACTCACACCCTGACAGGGTGGTCCAGCTCCTACCAGGATGAGCCCAACATTGCTGTACTGCAAAGCCAACGCCTGAACCTGCTCGTCACCAAAAGCACAGACATCGTCGTGGAACTCCGTCTCAGGAAAGAAGCTTTCCACCACCCTGCGACACCGCGGATCCATCTCTATGCTCACGTGCCCAGCCATGGGTAGTCCCACAACGTCACAAGCCACCCGCAGGGCCGCAATTCCATCGAACAGCCCCACGCTGAGAACTTGCACTAGGTCATGCTCTTCAGGAAGATCTCCACGAGCTGGGCAGTCGGCTGCGCTAACCCCGTAGGAAGTCAGTCCAACTGATGCACCAAGGCCCCCTCCTGTAGTCGACGCGTCCGAAGCCGTAACTTCTCCGTCCACTGGAATCCTGAAATCAATTTGGGCAAGGGGGCTGAGCAGGATGAAACGCGCAATCTCAATCTTCACCTGATAGGGTAATGCTAACCTGACCACTGGCGCCTCCCCATCAAAGCTCTTCATGTGCTCGAAGACTGAGTTCAGACTGCCCAGCAAGGGTCGGCGGAACATAGCAATGTACACGAAGCCCCCGCACACGACTTGCAACTCCCGGAGGGTGGATTGCCCTCGCACCAGGAGTTCAAAACCCAGCCTGCAGTATTGTACCAACTTTTGCGGTTTCGGCATGGCATAGCCCAGGTCCCCGTCAACCAGGGCACCTTGCATCTCACCCAAAGTGACCCGTGACCCGTTGAGCCGCCTTCTTGGGATGCCTTGGCAGGCCCAATTCTTCATAGCGTTGCCTGAGCTGTTCTACCTGCGGCTTGACAGTGCCTTTGATTTCCCCGGCCAACCTTGAGGAGACTCGTTCAAGCGCGTCAAAGTTGTCCAAGTATATCCTATAGAGGTTGGAAGCCGATGACATAGGCCTGTCCTTTCGTAGCTCACCTTCTCCGCCCACATATAAGTCACCTGACATCGCACTCCACCGTACCACATTCTGGTGGATGCGCTGTGCAATGCTAACCGAGTTCAGGAATCCCATAGGCAACACCCGGGAGACTAGCACACAAGCCCTCCCGTGCAGTTCAGCTGGTACTAAGGATTCTGGCACTGGTTTGTTGAACCCCTTGTAAGCCTTCCACTGTTCAGGGATGGCGAACAGGTAGAAGAAGCACCGTATGTCTTCACTCGACAGAAGGGCCACCTCTCCCTGGTCCAGGAGATACCCGCTCATTCCTGAAATCGCCGGGAGCGTTCCCACGTCCCCTGTGAGGCTCTTGCATAGTGCATTGACTGGCACGAGGTTCATGATCAAACGTTGAGTTTCCAGGCTATCCTTGAACTCCCCCTTGCCCACCGAAAACATGCCATTAAGCAAGGGCTGCCCCTCAATATGGTGCAACCTTTCAATGGGCCAGACCTCGCACAATCCTTTGCTCACCAGTCCAGCACAAATCTGGGGCCACTCCAAGTCACTGCGCATGACACGTGGTGGTTTGGGCCTAACTTGAATACCCCGAGGGACCAAGTATTTTTCGAAGTTTTTCACATACTCCAAGGTTCCGAGTCGGCAAAATTTCTCCAACGGCAGGCTGCCCACGGCATCAGGGAGCGACTCTTGGATAGCCGCCCATGTCATGCGCTGCGCAATCTTAACCTCTTCCCCCATATAGTCAACTTTTCTCTTTAAAAAGAACGTGTCAAAGCAAACCTCCGTGTCCGTTTCTTTCCAAAAATGGTTTCGACTCACAACTGCAGCTAGCCTTTTTTCAACTTGCGCCTGCATGGTCGATCTGGTAGGCGTAGTCGCCTGCGAAGAATTGCGGCCCTCCAGTCGCGCGTCAGCGCTTGCGAATCCAGCCAAATGATTCAAGCCACGGACCACTCCTGCGAGCACCTTGCCATCAGCTAGCGGGTGACCGGACTCCATCAACGTCGCCCAGTACTGTGCCTCCACGGGCAGCGGAAACAAGGGAGCATTGGGCTCAGTCATGGTGTCCTTGTTGGAGCGCCGTCTCTGCGATTGCTCGTCCTTCCGCAACAGGTCAGCCGCTCGCTGGAATATGAGGTGAAATCCAGGTAGGGCACCACGTCCAGTCATCTCGAATGCTGTGGTGTCCTTCCCATCAAATTCTGCCATCTCTAACTCCCGACACCCGGGAGCTAGACCTGCCTCCTCTTCGGGCGCAGTCACAGCGCCATGCATAGTTCCATCCAGGAGAGTTTTACTCTCCCGATCTCTTGGCTCCATCCTCGTCATTGGGCCTTCTTCTTGCCCTCGCCTTTGTCCTTCTTGCCCTTGTCGCCCTTGCTCTCGGACCTCTCCTCTTTCCACTTGCCTTTGCCGCTCTTCTCTTTGCCTTTGCTGCGCTCCCACGGGGCACTGCTCGCCCGGTGGAGGATCTTGGCCTCTTGATGAGCTGCTTGTCCGGCCAAGTTCACCTCCGTGTTCGACGCCAGGCCTCCCTTCTCCAAGGGGAGCAGCTCCATCTGTCGCAGTAGATCTGCTCGAAGTCCTCGTGACAAGCCCTCCAAACTCTTGAGTCGCTGGCTCATCACATCCAGCGCTGATGATACCCGACCTTCCAGCAGCATGTCCATGGTCGCCGCCCAATGTAGTGCCTCCCGCGCAACCGGCGGGCTCATATTCTGGCACAGCTGCTGCCTGCAGTACTGCAGAATAATCGGCTTCACTCCCGCCTTCTCCGCCTCCGGGAGTGAAGCCCCGAGCTGAAGCATCATAGTGCGCTGGGCCTCCAACACCATAGTTGCTGTAAGGACGCCAGGATAGCGCCGCCAGATTCGCTGTGTCGCCGTCAGGGGTGTGAACAGTTCCTCCGGCGCTTCCGCCTCCTCCGTTGGGCTGGAATCGCTGCTCCCGCTGGACGATGACGTTCCTGACGAACCCTTCTTGTTCCGGGAGCGCTTGCCCAGCTTCTTGGCCTTGCGGCGTAACCTCCGCCGAGTCTCCTCTTTTGGATCGAGCCCCGTCGTGGCGAAGAGGGCCTCTGCGGACTTGATGCCAACCACCTTGTCTCGGGCCTTCTTCAACTTCTTCCTCTCCTTTTTCTTCGCCTTGGTCTTCTCTGCCTTTCGGCCCTCTTCTTCTTCTCCCGATTCTTCCGGGAGATCCTTCTTTGCCTTCTCGCCCTTCGGGGCTTCTCCTCTTCCTTTGCCGCGCTCCCCGGCTTCTCTCCTCAGGACCTCGAGCTCGTCTCTCTCCGACTCGCGAACTGAGATCTCTAAGTTCCGGCTCCATGGCAGAGCCTCGTACTCCACGGCCTTGATCCTGTCGGCATGGAGCATAGTGTCCCCCCATGTCATTGTAGAACAGGGGCTGTCGCACAGGTGGACCTGTAACTCCTTCTTTGCTTGACCGCTGATGTATTTGAGGATGCTCTCGGTGGACGTTCCATGGACCCGGACTGTTGTCCACGCTCCGTCCTCCCCCATCAGCGTTTTGGTGATCTCTCCCACGATCTCGGCCTCGTTGTCCCAATACCTGCCTTGAATATGCACTGCCTTCATCTCTTGTAACGTCCTCAAATCGACCTCGCTTGCTGCCACCCACCCGTCCCCAGGTGGGCCTTCCGCCGCCGGCCTGGCCAAGTCCTCCTCTGATTCCTCGTGGTGTTCTACCGGACCAGGGGCCTCCTCCGCCCCCGCAGCACTGGTTGAAGCAGCTGCAGCCTCCTCAACCTCGACGTCCTCAGTCTCTTCAGACCCTGCCTCTCCCTCGGCTCGAGGTTCACTGGGTGACGGCTTAGAGGTGGGCCTCAAGCCAAAGCCCGCTGGGTCAGTGGCCACTGCTCTATCTTTTTCTTCTTTTGTCTCCTCCTTTTCAAATAGCTCCTCTCGGCGGCTTGGCTTGGGCTCCTCGCTCCTCCTTGACTTCTCTCTCTCTTCTGTCTTCACCCTGGTCCTGTCACGCCCTAGACGGTCTCCAGAGTCTCTCCTCCGACGCCGCTCACGACCTGAACGAGCCTCCTTCTCTTCTTCTGTGGATGGCTCCTCTTTCACACGCCGCTTTCGGGCAAGTGGTGGCCGTGTCTCTCCACGAGAGCTTGCACCTTCTCCCGCTGCTTCACGAGTACCAGGGCTGGTAACCTCACCAACGGACGAAGTGGCACCTTCTTCACGTTCACGTTATCCAGGCCGTGCTGCAGCTGGCCCAGATGGTGGAAGATGTGGACCTCCGGGTCTCTCTCCACCGACGTCACCAGGAGCTGGTGCTCCCGCTTGCCCAGGAGAGGCTGCCCCTCCTGTGATACCCCCTGCCGGCTCAGGGGCTGTGGTTTGCAGCCGGTCCAAGTAGGCTCCCTCCAGGAGCTGTGTATAGGCTTGGCGAAGGACCGGAACTGCTCGTGCACGTAGCTGCTCTGTCGACCCTTCGTAAAAGAGCAACAAGAACAGCTTTTGGACAGCCGCGCAGCACTCACAAGCGCAGTTGTCCACAAAGTGTTTGGCTTTGCGGCCTCCCGAACTCAAGGAGGCCATTCACCCTTAAGCCACAACACTGCGGTTAAAAGTCTTGGGTTTCTCGTTTTTAGATACGAAGCGAAGCCCATACACACAAACAGGCAGTGTATGTACTGCGGGGAAGTCTTGTGACAAACCTGTGGGCCACATGGGAACCAATAAAGAACAGCAAGGGTCTCCACAACGCCCGTCGCTGCACAAGTCTAATGCCTAATCCATGGCAGCAAGACCAAGCTGTTCTCAGCAAATGCCTCAGCTTCATCCTTCTCCTGGGCACGAAGCAGGAAGCACTTTAGATGTGCTTTGAAGATCAACTTGCGCTCTGGACAGCCTTTTCATTCTTGCCAGAGGGGTAATCGGTTACCTTGAAGCACACTATGCAGCAGAGTGTCTTTTGGGTCGTGTGGCTTTACCAATCATGTCTGTAGGCCCTGCCTGGCCAACCTTCTGCAAAGACTCGTACTCGTCCTGGAGCCCGATGAATAATATAAAGTCAACTTGTCAAACAGAAATTGTTCGTTCCGCGAGACATTGAGCATCTTCTTAGGGCATTAGATCTTAGACTGAACTAAACAATTGCTCGCTATCAAAACAAATCTCACTTTAGGTCCTGTGTGCTGGGTTGGCTTCGACTACCTGGCTCACACCATATTACAACGAGAATCGGTCCTCTTCGGCAGTTGTCTCCGCGTTGTACTCTGCCCACACTTCCTGGCGCCCTTCGGGTTCAGGTTCGTTGGCAGGTTGCTCAGCCACATGACCTAGAACGGACTTTAACAAAGAATAAGTATATGAGTGCCAAAACGATGAACTATGTCTCTGCCAGGCGAGACATTGTCCAAAGCCAACTAAGGGATAGACGGGCCCGAAGTGGCATGTGCCCATGTGCCCAGGGCGACGCCCAGACGCGGCGGGCACTTCGAGACGCTTTCGGGCTACACGGAAAAGACGGACAACGAAATTGGAAATGGATGACCTGCAACTAGCTCTGACAGAAATACTGTTGTTCACCGTAGAAAGCACAGTAAACTCTAGCGGACCTGCCTCATGCCTTTTTGCTTCGATAAAACATGATGTGCAAGCTCCACACGCTGAATTCGAGACAATCATGTGTTGCGGCCTGCACTTCTTGTGCTTGAGACCTAATCACATGTGTGACACCTTAATGACACCCGCAAGACCATAATCGCGTCCAACTGCCGTCCATGTCCCGAGTCCCTGTCGCTCCAAATGAACTGCGACACTGAAGTGATGCCCAGAACTGAGTGATCCAAAGTAGAGTCACCAATAAGTGACTCACTTGAGTGAGTCTTCTCAAATCGGCAAAGATCTTTCCACATTCGAGTTGCCTCGACACTTTGAGAGACACTTCACAATCGTCAGCAAAGGACCTGATATCGAGCAGCTTTTGGACGAGCTTCCTCCAGCTAGAACAAACATTGGATCACTGTGGGGAAACCAACTTCGTTGTATGTTGCTGCTCCGGCTGCATGTTCCTAGGTTTTTTCGGCTTGCTTGGCTTCAATGCTCAAAGATTGCGGGTGGTATTGTTGCTGTTGTGGTTGCTGATGTTGCTGTTGTTGGTACTGGTGCTGCTCTTGTTGCATTTGCTGCTGGTGCAGCTGTTGTGTTTGCGAGGTCTCTTGGGGTTGTACTCGTGGCTGTGGGTAGCCTTGTGGCTTGGATGGATCCTGCTTGTGATCCACTGGCTCCTGCGATTGCTGTTGCTGGTCTCTGCGCGGCATGATCTGCAGATCTTGCTGCAGCCCTGGCTGTCGCAGCTCTAGCTGCGGGTCTTCCAACAATGGTGGTGTATGAGAGGGTTCGGGCATGCAGTTGTTCATGGCCTGCGATGCAGAAGTTGCTTGAAGCTGTGAAACAGGTCGTGGAATGTCCAGTGTCCCTGCTGGAATGGATGGTGTTGGGGTGGATCCTCTCATTTGCGATGCCTCGGATTGAACTCCCAAAAACTCACGACAGGGAGCCAACTTGCGCAACACTTGTGCATGGTCTGATTCAAGTTTCTTGAGTCGAGCTTGCGCCTCAACATTCTTCTCGAGAAATGGACCAAAGTCACGGACAAAGGCTGCACAAGCTTTCAAAGCTGTGTCTGCCGCAACAGCAGTCTGGCGTAGGCGCTTGTGTTCCAAAGAGTCAAGGACAGTATGTGCTGGCCGGTCCATGACATTCAGCATCTGAATTTCAGCCTTGTGCTTTTGAACAATCTGCAAACAATGCTCAGCTTCATGTCCGAGCTGCTCGATTCTCCTTTCCTCTTGGCTTACATGATCCATCAAAACAGTCAAGAGATGACTGTCAAATTGTACAGTTTTTGTCTTGAGCTCATCTACTGCTGCAGCAAGGGCTTGTGATGATAAAGATTCTGCCTGTGCTGCCATCTCTCTCACCTCAGGGCATAATATCAGTATCACATGAACTATAGACACTATGCATAGGTTGATGCTTACACAATTGAGTCAAACCAATGCTCAAGTGCCACAGACCCTATAGTGGTTGCTTTTGAATGCACCTTCTTGGCAGCCTCATGCTCTTTTGTAGCCAGGAGTCCTTCTTCTTCCGCCTCCCGAAGCTGCAATCGAAATTGCCCCTCGATGTCAGCCACTGCTTTTCTGCAAGCATCTCGTTCTGCGAAGCATGAACGCTGCACTTCTCGCGCAGCATGCAGCTTGTCATCTACGCTCTGCAGCTTCTGACGAATATGCAGCTTTTGGGTTTCTAGTGACTCAATCTTGCGATCTGCTGACTCTCTTTGCTCATCTATCTTCGCCAGCTCTTGTGAAAGCGAATCGTGTGATTGGCGAAGATTCGCTTGCAAGGACTTTTGTTTGTGCCCAACAGCTTCCCCTGACATCAGCGGATGCAGGGTACAGAGTGTGTGTATACATCCGTTGACAGTGGCTGTCCGGCATGGTGCACAAGCCGAAGGAAGAAGGATGTTGTACAGTTAGAGCAGCATATTCTTTATTATATCATTTCTGTCCAAGGTTGACTCTCGTAGCTACGGTAGTCAGCACACA